GAATTTGCAAAAGATGAGGGACATGAGAAAGGATTGGAGTGAGAGATAAGAAGAGATTAGAAAAGGCAAATCATGAAGTACATGACATCCTCCAGCAGTATGTAGAGTGAACTCCCCTGCCCATTTTTAAGACCTGAGCTTTAAGGATGGGGGTCTGGGTCATTCATATCCTTCCTGTAAACTTTTCTTCACCCAGGGCATTCTATACAATGATACAAGTTGCTGAAAGTGCAAGGAGACTGCTGAAGGCATTGCTGGTCTTTGTAACCCAAGCTTTTTGTTTCCAGCCTCATTCACTTGTACTTATGCTGGGACTCGGGTCATGTCCAGTATGCAGCATGCCCAGGGCTCTCCTTTAACTGGGCAATGCTGCAAGTTACTGAGCTCTTCCACTGCAAAGAGAAAACATAGGAAAAATCAGAAAGGTGAAGAGCATTTTGCTGTGCAGGGCTTAGGTGGACATGGTGCAAATAGAACAGTCTCAGTGCTGTAGCTTCCTAAACGAAAGGCAGAGCTGATTGTGCTTGCTGTTAATGGCTTGGGACCTCGTTCCTGTCTTTATACACAGGCAAATTTTCTATGCTTTTTCCATTAGTAAAAGTTTACTTTGTTGAAGTGAGCAGTTCCTCCGAGGGGATCTGATGACTATGCCTGCATGCCTCTGTTTTCATTAGCAGAATAGCTGTGTTTCAGCTGCGTTGCTCTTCATTGACTTTGTGGGAACAGGCTGGGAGAAAGACGTGGCTCCAGCTGCCCTCTTATCCCTGCTTGCTTTGAAACAGAAATTGCAGAAAAGCTGTCTCTTGCACCATTAGTCCTGTAAGCAGGAGTACGGCCAGCTTACTGGAAGTGTGCAGAGCCGCCTGTCTGAGAGCACCGATCCATTGGGGACACTGTTGGTCCATGGACTTGGGTCCTGCCACACCAGGCAGGCCTGGCATACAGTCCCATCTGAAAGCCACCTGGCACCATCTGCTCACACAAAGATTTTTAAGGCTGGACAAAAATACTAGGAATCAGCTCTAAAGGCTTTGGCCTGGACCTGTGTCATGCTATGCAAGGTTACAGATACCTTTCTTCTGCACGTCACTCCTGGTGAGCTGAGGTCAGCTTTGGCTTGTGACAGCACCCTGAAGGGCAGCTGAGGACTAAATGTGCCCTGAAGTAAATTCTAAAAAAGTCACGCATGGTCTGTGAAGCAATAAAAATCAGTGCTCCACTACCCCTAGAGCTAAAGGAAAACTTTTAATCCTAACTACACAGACTGCGACAGCCATGGAAGTACCTAATTCACTTCAATCTCAGGTCTCTGTTTCCTCTCCATTTCCCATCTTTTACTGTCACCATGGTTGATGGCTGTTGAAAAGCCTTGTCCTGCTCCTGCATCTAGTTCTGAACATACAGACCAGCAGCGCTGGGAAGGAGGAAATGCTGCTGCTCATGTAAGCTGTCCTGAGTGTTGGCAGCGCTGTGAGATTTGGAACAGAGTGATGTATTTCAGCTGTTGTGAAATTCCTGAATAATCAGCTCATCAAAAAATATCATGCAGAGTTCCCTTATAGTCCTCTCTAACTTGCCACCTCTCCTGCCAATAGCTCTGTAGGGTGACCACAGCCTGGCACAACCCATTAACAGAGCTCTGCACACTCATGAACAGAGCTGGCTAGAAAATGCAATTTTTCTTCTTAGGGAAAAAAATAAAATAAAATACTTTACTGGGACAAGAGTCTTTCTAGCTTTGCATTTCAGGATGAAGATGTCATCTACTGTTCCCTCCAACACCCTCCTCTGTTCTCTGTGCTCATTCCTCCCCACCCCACTTTTTTTGGAAGTCAACTCCAGGAAAATAAAAATGTCCTTTCAAGTGGCCTACTGATGAACTCCTGTTAGCTCCAAGGTTGGGAGTCTTGCTGCAGGACATGCACCGACCTGCTGCCACCTTCTCAAGGCGGTACTTCTGGGTGATGTGCTCTAAGACCTGCACTTTTTACTACTGCTACTCAGTCTCCTGTCTTGAAGAGCTATTGAGCAGCTTCAGAACCACAAACATGAGGTAATGGCCCTCATAGAACAGGCTGCCCAGTGAGGTGGTGGAATCACTGTCCCTGGAGGTGTTCAAGAAACATGGAAATGTCACTAAGAAGTGAGTGATGTGGATTGGTGGGGATGGGATGATGGTTGGAGGAGATGAGGTTAGAGTCATTAAGAGTGGAAAAGACCTCTGTGATTCTGTGACTCAGTCCTCTGGGGGAAGGCAGGAGTTGGAAGGGTAGATCTGTCCTGTCCTCAGCTGCTCCTCAGCAAATGGCCTACTGCCTGTACTCTGAGAGGATGGTCCAGTCAGGACCCCCGGGGTCCTCATCAGTGCCCACTTTTAGTCACACCATGGGAGATATACACAGTACACACACACGAAAGCATGCTTGAAACTCAAGCTTCTTACATAATTAAATATGTTGAAATAGCAAACAACCCATTGAAAAGCAGCAGGAAGTCACACATCACAAAATGGAAGCTGTTCCTCCATTCTCTGCTCCAGCAGCACAAATCCCCACTGCAGAGGAGGATTTATTAACAATAGTCAACCTTCATTTCAGGTATTCTGCCTTTTGTCCTCGTATCACAACATCAACATTATCCCCACATAATTTTGTGTATTTAATTTTACAATAGAGCACTGCCTGTAAATATTTGATCACTGCCATTCCTCTAGGATTATCTTATCAGGAGTAAAGATATTAAAATAGAAATCTTGTCATGTTACTGCCTTTATACTTAGAGCCGGAGAGTTGATTGACAGAAAATGAACTGCCTGAACTAGCTCTAAAGTGTCTTTTCACTGAGAGCTTCAATGCCAGAGGCTATAGAAAAAAGGTAGCTAGTCATCAGAAAATAATGCCTTGCTGTAGTTACGGAGCTTTTGTACTGAAGATTAAAAATATGAAACTACTAGGGATATTTTTTACAAGTGTAAAATGGTGGTGGGTCTTTTTGTATCTTTTTGCTATCTCTAATGAGCCTTAAGAAGAGCTTTCCCTTTCCTCCCTGTACTTGAATATTCGATGCAGCCTAACCGCAGCTTTCAGACACAGGCTGATATTTTGCTAGAGTAAGCTCTTGACTTATCTAACCTACAAAATTTATTTTACATCACAAAATGGTTTGCAAGCCAGGACTGAATGTTCCTACCTAGCTTGGAATATCAAACCTCAACGGTTAAGTCCAGTTTTCTGTTGATGGCCAGTTAAAACACACCAGTAATGCAGCTGTAATGTTACAAAATTGCTCTGAAATTGTCATGTGTGTGCAAATAAATACACAGCCATTCCCTGAGGGCTCAGCCAGCCCGTGCTCCTGCACAAATCAATGAGAGTTTTGCTGGGGTAAGGACCTAAGAACCAATTCAGGAAAGAGCCTAAGCACGAGCAAACTTTAATCACAAGCTCCTGCTCCTTAGAAATCAATAAAGACTTAAGCAACAGCTTTAAGTGCCCTTTTTTCTGAGGGGGGTGTGGGTTTGCACTTGCACAGGCAAAGGGCTAACAATTCCCAGCATTCAGAATAAATCTTGCTCCGTCCCATCACGATCCTAGAGAGCAGGAGGGGCTGGTTGATTCACAGATCTGTCCCATTGCAATGACAAACTGTGGCCACTGCCATTAAATCATTCCAGCCTTTCACGATGGTGACAAACTGTGAGTGTGGGATGACCACAATTGGAGTGGCTGGAGGAGGAAAAACACTGTGCTTTGGCCAGATCGTTGCTCCCACTTTCTTTCCCTTGTAACATGAACAACAACTGTGTGAAATGAAACTAATTGGATGCTAAGCAGCCTATTACCATGCTGACGTGAGAGGGATTTACATGGGTGACTCCCATTAGCAGTAGTGGGTGGTCCCCTCTACACTTTCCCTGGGCTCTTGATGCAGAAAAAAATTGTCCTAACATTTCACTTATGGGAAAGGTCAAGAGCTGTGGTTTTGTTCAGTGCGCTCAATATATTCAATTAAAATATACTGGCATGTTCGTCTGTCTTTGCAATAGCTGTAATTAAACAGATGCTTAGGTGGGAAAGGAAATCCTTCAAGAGGCGAGCAGGAACTTCCCTAGTCACCATAGTGGGTTTCTTCACATATATTGACTCAGCCAATGAGAGTTTTCCTTTCCTTGCTCATGGAGTGAAGGGGTGTTTTGCCCCTAACAGCCACAGTTTCCCTGCAGGGATGTGAGAGTAAGGGGTTGGCATGGTCCCTTCCCAGCAGGAGATACACAGGCACTTGCAGGTATATCACATAAAATTTCACTTGACATGGATAAGAGAGAGAGAGTATGAGAGAGTTATCAGCTGAGTATTGAGCAAACTCACGTTTCACAGACTTGAGCAGTCGGTGGCCTCTGATTCAATGGGCTGTAGGGAGTTAAAAGCCACACACCTTGCTTTGAATTTTCCTCTGAAGGGACTAAAATGAAGGAAAAAAACCCAACTAGTGCAGAGGAGCAAACTGAAGGAAGCAAAAAGTAATTACTCAAGCCAACTGGTCTAATTATATAGACAGAGCAGAGCAATCATTGGCACTCTAAAGACGGATAGTGGGGAAATGGAGACATAGGAGAAAATAACACAGGCTGAGGAATTGGTACTCCTTGTGCTGCAGAAAAGTGAGTTATTCGCATTATGCAGACTTGTAGAAAGATGGAGGCAGGAAAAAAACAGCTAGAACATCCAGAAAGCCAACAGGGAGGAGTTGTCACTGCAGCGGAGCCTGGTGTGATGCCACCTCTGCTGCTGGAAGGAAGGGAAGAGAGGAAGGGGAAGGGAGGCAAAGGGAGGGACAGGCAGGGAAAGGCAGGAAGGTGACAGTGCCCAATAGTCAATCAGGTCTTCAGCAAAGTTTAACAATTACAGTGGTTGTCAATTGCAAACTGCCTATGAAAAGTATGCAAACATTGACCCCAAGTGTTACACTGAGAACATGGAAATTAAAATCATCTGTCTTACTTGATTCAGAGCCTCCCACACAGCAAGGTTGGTATTTAAGGAAAACCTTGGCCGGACTCAGATTGCTTCTTTCTGCTAGATTAAAATTAAATTAAGTCAAAATTTAGAAAATACTGGTTTAATTAAAGATACTTCACCAGCTCATAAATTATGCATTCCCCTTCCTGTTGCGAAGCGTAAGTTTGATGCTAGGTGTCAGCGCTGTGGAGGATTCCTAAAGGTTAGTTCCCATTTATGTGCTGCATAAAGCAGCCTTCTAGAAACGAGTGACTAATTACTGAAGTTACCAAATTGCTACCCTGGCCTGCTTAGCAAATGTGCTTCCCTGACTTCAGCAAGAGCAGTTTTCTCTGGTGGCTTAGTCCAAATTTGCAAAACAGGACAGCGGAAAGAGACCTTGGCCAAAAGCAGACATTGGTATGGAATCAAGCATGACAGTATTAATGGATAATTATCCAGAAAATAATTATGAAATGTTAAAAGTCTGACTATCTCACACAGACCACTGCAAGGAATAGTACCTCTGTTTCATTGCAGAGCAGCAAAAGGAGAATCCTCGCAAAGTAGCTTTCCTCATCTTCTTACCCATGCACATTAGCATTGAAGCTCATACCCCACTGAAAAAAAGAAAAAAAAAAGCTGCAGAAGATAGAAATAGAGCATCTGTTATCCCCTAACACAGATACCTGCTGGATTAGCTGCTGTGCTGAAAAGCAGCCGCTACAGAGAGAAAGGAGCTCATTGGCACCTTGCTGCCAGGAGAGGCAGCAGTTCCAGTGGAGATGCCCCAAGCACAACCTTCGAGGTGCAATCCTCCTGCTAAGGGTGGCTGTGGTTGCCTCAACCAGGACTAAATCAACACCAGTGCAGCCTGAAATGGCTGGAAAATCCACTTACGCATGATCCTGGCCATTAGCGGGTACTGGGGGGCAGATCACAGCGCTAAGCCCTATGGCACACCTTGTGCCACATTTTAGAAAGCTTTGCAGAGCTACAGCAATCCCTCTGAGAGAATTAGAAGCCCTTGAGCTGATTATTCAGATAAAGGCACGATGAGATAAGCTCTGGTACCATCAGAAAGGGTGCAAAACACTGTCACACGAGGGAGAGCTGGGCAGGATGTGAACTCTATTTAAGCAGTCCCCGGGTAAACCAGCTCGCAGCCGACTGTCAGCTCCCTTCCAGCAGCGCCTTTGATTGCAGCGCTCCGTGAAGGAGCACTTGTCACTTTTTATCGAAAGAGAGGGGAAGAAAGCAAGGCAGCCGCTGCTGGGAGAGGAGATGCCACTCACTGTTCATCACTGCGATAGACAGCTGCGCTGCCCTGGCTGCTGGTGATCAAGGAGCAAGAAAAAGAGAACTGCACGAGACTGCAGTGAGCACAGAGTGGGGAGGGAAGGCCCCACAATCTGCTCATTGCTGGTACCAAAACATCTGAGCCATGGGATGCGGGGGCTGAAATAAAGGGAGGTTCAGGGTTACCCAGTGCAGAGGAGAGCTTTAAGTCCTCTTACAACAAAATGGCCCTAAACTGTTTGGCACTGTCTGGCTGGAGCTGGTTGGACTTTCCAGCATTGAGAGTGCTCATGGCAAGGGAGCAAAGCCACAGCACAGCCTATCCCACACCTCTGCCTTCCCCCGGCATCAAGTTCAGAGCTGTTCAGTGAAATCTGGCCTGACGGGGCTGGAATTCCCCACTCACTGTATTAAAGTGTTGTGATTGTATCTTTGCAAGCCAGCCCACTGTAGACACAACACAGAAGGCACAAAAGCTCCGGAAATGAGAGAGCATCTTTTCCTGCCTTTGTTTGTCAGAATCCTGCTTGCTCTAGATAACAATCAGCAAACAAAGAGCCATGCTCAGAAGGCTCAGGCAGAGAAAGTCCAATTTCCCCTCAGCCACTGGTACTTATGCTAAGGGCTACTTACTCAGGCACAATTAAAGACACCAGAGATGACAGCGGTAACTGAGAAGGTCGAGGGAGTGGCTCTACAGAGATAGAAGAGACCAAAAAAAAAAAAACCAAAGCAGTGCTAGAGCATTTCCACATCCACAAGGCAAAGCATTTTGCACCAGAGCTGGGAAAGCTGATATTTAACAGCTGGGTCCTGCAGACAAACTGATTTGCTTCTGTGGTTTTGTTGCTTGCAGCAAAGCAGAAAATGTTTATACCTATTATTTTTTTTTTCCTAAATTCAGCTTCATTTTTGCCAGATTTGTCCAAAAAACCCATGCAGGTTCCAGCAAGACTCTCCAGACACTTCCCCACCACACTTTGCAGCCTATCTCCTGGCCACAGCACACAGATGTGGTGGCAGTGAGGCTGTGACACCGTCCCAGCTTCTGAGGGTCGCACCCCTGTCCTAAGGTATTACACAGCCCTTTAGCAGAAGACAGTGCCAGGGTCACCTTCTAAACAGGCAATCGAAGGATGCAGGAGCAAGCACAGGACAGCCCCCCCCTGGAAGAAGCAGATGGGAGCGACTCCAAGCCCCAGATATTGAGTTATCATCTGGACCTGGCTACACTTCCTTAAGGCTCCCTTCTGTTCATCTCACTGGTTGGTAGCTGACATATGGAAGTCTTCGTGCTCCTGGCTGCTTTGCCAGAGGTCACAGCCCTTTCTTTTCCCCTGCTAAAATGGGGGTCCTGGAAGCATTGTGGTCTTTTCCCATCCTATCTGCAGCTATGCAGACTTGTGACTGCATTAGCTCTCGCTGTGCACTGACACGAAGGGGAAGGACTCCAGGAAGAAGCTGCCAGCTCCAAAACCACAGGATGTTTTCCTACAGTAAAAATCCCACTGCAGCCCAGGGCTGGATTGTGGCACTGATCTTACCAACGTCCAGCTGTTTGTGGGATGCTGCCAGCATTGAGGAGGGGACAGTCCCATGTCCCAGGTGAGCAGGTCCAGACAAAGGGTAAAAACATCACAGGGAGCAGTTCTGCAGTCTATGGGGACAGCCTGGTGCCCATCAGGGGACACATGGCCAGAACTAGCCCTGCCCGTGACACAGCTGCTAGGAAGCAAGTGGATGAGCATTGCCCATGGGATGCATCTGTATGCAGCACGTCTGTTGTGTGAAGCAATGAAAATCCTTTTTCATTGTCTTCTAAGGGTTGGGTTTTCTTTTGTCCTTTTTGTTCCTTTTCGTTTTTAAGAGAGACTGCAGATCTTGCCTGTCCCAGGAAACACATTATAAAACTGCAATTTGCCTGTCTTGGCTCTCTCACCCTAGCATTGACCCTAAAGATGAACTCCCATGAATAAGTCTAATCCTGTTTTTCATGTTTCCCCAGGTAAATGAATATTTATGAATCTTTTCTCCAGAGCCGAAGCAGGGCCCTTACAACCGGCCATGATAGTTCAATTTGTTTTCTTGCCAATTCTTCAAATTGTTTTTTGTTGTTGTTGTTGTTGCTGTTCTTTTTGAAACTTAGGGAAAAAAAGAAATCTCATTCCCAGTTGGTTCTTATCAAAGTGTGTGTGGCTTTTCAGTTGATTTTTTTCTTTTTTTTTAAACTCAGCTGGTGCTTGGAGGCTTTCCAGTTGGCTTGAATGATTAATGTGGTGCCACTGACTTGTTTTGTGTTTGTATTAAAAAAAAATAAATGCACGATTCATGTTTTCCAAAGAGCCAGTTAGGTATCTCTGATTGACCACGCCATGTAAGTTTAAATTCTTTGTCTGCTCAAAACATATACAAAAAAGAAGCATTGCCACAGAGATGAATGGTCAAGGTTAGAGACACCGGCTAAACAAAAAATAATGCCTCTCAGCAAGCTGTGTATTAGACTGTAATCATGACAAAGCCAGGTCTTAATATCTACATTCATTTAAGGGAGGAGATTTGTTCTTATGTCTACTATTTATTTAGCTTTCCTAAATTCAGTTTGAATAGCAAAACAGCTTTTCCAGTTTAGCTGCGCTATCAAATCAAGGTCATTCTCCTAAGAGAAAGATCAAGATCCTTTATAAGGGGAGTGGAGGGGGGGGAAGAAAAAAAAGAAAAAAAAAGAAATGACTCTCACTGATTGATCTGCTGAACATCATTAGAGAAGGGTAAGAGATAATCTAAACATGCTCTGTGCTTCATTGACTCACATGGGTGCTTTTTGAGTGTGAAACAGAAGGAAGTTATGCAATTACCTTAGAGGAAAAACATTTCTTTAGCAGTATTTGGAAATAAAATAGGGTTGGGAAGGGGGAAGGATCCTGAAGGGCTCTTACAAGCTGTGTCTTTGTGAGTCAATAAAGCAGTAAAGAAATGCAACTCCATTGATTTACATTATGTGCTACTTCCCAGGTGAGAGTTCAGCCTTTTATAATGTTTTTCACCCAACATTTTCATATTTTCTATAGAAGTTTGATAGCACTTAATAGCATGTACTTATTTAGAAATAATAACTGTTTGCACTTAAACTCATTATGCTAAGACATGCCTCTTGCTCAGAGGCTCCTTGGAGAAGTGTATGAGAAACCAGCAACTTTTACTTCTGCAGGAGCCAGATTTTGTGTTATAGAAACTCAGAAAACCAAAACCATTGTACTGATTGCTGTGAATTTATCCCTGGGGGAGGGAATGGAAGAGGGAAGGAAAAAAATCTTAGCAATAATAAATAAAATAATAATTATTATAATAAAACCCCTCTTTTTCCTGTCTCATTCGGCTGGACCACGCTCTGAGCACACTGATCCAGCTGTAGATGTCTCTGTTCATTGCAGGGTGGTTGGACTACATGACCTTTAAAGGTGCCTTGCAACTGAAACACCACCATGACTCTGTTACTCTATGCTATGATTTCTGACTCTGGGTGCAGCTCCCCACACCCCCTTTCCCCACCATTTAGCAAATAGCAATCAGTGGGACCACATCACCCTTACCTGCAGCCAGAGGAGATGCTTGAAGAGGGCGGGATGTTAACTAGAACCCAAACCCCAATGACCCATCAAGGAACATTGACAGTGCAGTCAGTCCCAGGAGAGTTGTCAGCTTCTCTGCCAGGCAGCTCGTGTATCTGCTATTTATCATTGCTGTAAACCAAAACAGAATTACCATGACTGTTCAGGTTTGGGTTTGTTTTTACTGAGATCATAAACAAGCTGATGACACTGGATTTTATTACGCCACACTCTTAACTGTGCTGGCAATTCAGCTTGATTTCCAACACCTTGCTCACCTCTGCTCCTTTGCAACAGTATTAAACAGCAACTTTCTTCAAAACAAACCCAATTGTTCCAGGAACACATCTGAATTCAGCAATATGTCTGTCAATCCAGTGGGCTGTCTTTCCTTCTGCCTTCCTTAGGAGACAATCACTGCCTGCTGGGACTTCATGCAGAGATTGCTAACTTGCTGTGCATACACTGATGCAAAGAACGAGCTTTGTAATTTAAATAACAGACTTAGGAATTGGTGACAGACACAAACATGGTCATTCACCCAGCTGTGGAAAACTGCAACTAAGGTTCCAGCAGGAGGGTGGAGGAAACATATTGTTTTCTTTGAGGACCAGAAACACAGCCTGCAGCCATAGCTGTCTCGGGTAGGATGCTACACTTATAAATTAGCACAGAGTGATCCCCAAAACAGAAGAGGTTACATGGTGCCCTGGCTGAGCAGAAGAGACTTGCTCCTCTTACTCATCTCACCAGGCCATGGCTGGGCACAGCCCCAGTGCTACATGGCTGCTGTAGACAGTAAAAATTACAGCAACTCTATAGAAAAACCTTGTAAATACCTTTTCAGGTGAAATCAGCCTCTTTAATCTGCTGTGTTCCATTTGCATAGCAAGAAAGGCTTTGGGTTTTTTTCTTTTCATAAGGGTGATAAATGCATTTTCCTTTTGCAGAAAAACAAAGACTCTGACAAGGCCCTTAATCACCAAATCAGTATAAACAACATTACAATACATTAGACTTGGAAATGCTAAACTGTGATTATGCAACAACTAATTAAATTAGTACTGACAGCTTTCAAAGAGTAGGAGAAAAAGGCACAATGCATCCCTTGCTTTCAGGAATGGCTCTTCCTAGAAACAACGAAGACACACAAGCTGCAAACACTTGCCATCTGGGAACGAGTCCACCCATGAAACACCCACACCTGAAACACAAACCTCCACTAAAACAGAGAAACCATTTTGCAAAATGGAGCTGAGCCTGAACAGCAGTGAGCAGCAAGCAACAAGTTGAAGTCCTCCTTAAAGCGAAATCCAAGGAAAAGCCTAATTACTGCCTCCGTGCCACCAAGCGGGGGATACCAGTCTTCTAGCAATAACTTGAGTTTAATTATTTGGGAAGAACAAAAGCCTTCATTTGGCTGAGGAATGGCATAAAAATCACAAACAGCAGCAAGACAAACTAATTATTCATGAACAGTGTTAATACCCTTTTGAGGGTTCTTAAAATACTTGAAGGTTGCTATGCAGTGCAGGTCCCAACCTGATTCCAGGGATGGCAACAGTGCAAATCACCTGCTGGCTCAGGTAGGACCCAGAGGGACCCCACATACAGTACCTCTATATCCCAGCTCTGTGCCCAGCACTGAACTGTGGGAGCATGCAGCCCTTAGGCACCCCAACCACCGCTGCACATCCATCCCAGTGAACAGCAGTGATATTAGAAATGGGAACACCTCCGGATCCCATCCTATGCAATGCTTGTCAGCTTCTTGAGATGCTGTTTTCTATAAAGGAACTTAATTTACATGTTAATAACACCAAAAACCATGGTGTGAGAGGGAGAGAGATTGAAATTTCTATTTAAAATCTTTCAGAATTGGGAATTTTGAATTTTTTCCAATACACTCAAAAGAAAATCCTCCCATTAATCTTCCTGTAGGTCTAATTCTTCTCTTTGGGAGGCTCTTGCAAGTGGCTGCATTTTGTTCCTGACAGCCTTTTTATCACCTAAGTCCCACCTGTGCCCACAGAAGCAAAGCTCAATGCTGGGACTCCATTGCCTTGCCAGCAGCTCTCACTCAACCTGTATCCCTGCTTGCATTAAGGAAGGTGTGCTTTCCTCCTCCTCCCCTGCACTGAGATCGCCATGCATGAGCACAGCCACGGGCTCTCTGCTGACCCAGCAGCTCTCTTCCTTTCCCAGCATAGATTTGGGATTTTCAAAGTATTCTTGTTTATCACCTTTTGCTTTCAGATACTGAACTCTCACTTCTTTGAAAACTTCAATTCTGTGGTTGTGTTTGGGCACATTCCCATGATAACTGGGTGAATATAGGGAGAGATGTGGGTGGAACAAGGCTGGGCAGCTATGTGTGCTTATCTGGGAGGAAAGCTGCAGGAGGGAAATCACACTACTAGCATCCTCGCTAATACCTATTCATCACCTAAAAAAAAACCCACAACCCTAATAAATTAATAAAATCACTTCCTTCTGCAAATGGCAGCAGCCAAAAAGCTCATCCACAGTGTTGCAGGTCTTTGTGCTTTAAGCAAAGCCCCACAGCATAGTAGAAGCCAGCAAAGCTTGCAAGAGCAGTATGAAAAATCAGCTTAGGAGACAGCAGACCTGCAGCAGAAAATGTTTTTTTCTGTATTTAAAATACTTGGTAACACTGGCCAATCTCATCAGCTCAGCGCATGTGCTTACCATGATGTTGCATGGTCAGGGCTCAACCTAAAAGCTTAAGTTTTTTTCTTCTAACTCTGTACTTGGCCACATCACATCATTGCAAAGGAGCCCAGCCTATTCATTTGTGCATGAAAGGACAGACAGCACTTCCTTCCCCAAAGGGCCCTCCCAGCACTGCCAGCGTGAGAGCAGAGGTGACTTGGAAAGCGATAATTAAAAGAAAACTCTCAGGCCCTCTGCAGTCACACATTTAGAGTGGTGTGGGTAGGGGTCCCTCCTCCCTCTCTCCCTTCCCAGAGTACAGGGTTGGGCTTTTTTTCATGCAACACAGACTGGACAAGGAGCTCCAAGGATGCTGGAGGTGGTGGCTCGGGTCATCTGTCCAGTTTGAGTGGAAATGTGGGCCTTTAAGGTTTACTACGTGTGAAACACTCTTCTCTAAGTGCAGCTGAAGTCAACTTTCTGTCCTTCTAATATATGCCAGATAAACAAACCACTCGTAGAATAACAAAGAAATATCACCAGCACCAGAAAAAGTCCTGCAGCCAGCAACTCTCTTCTGCATATTTTATCTTATAATCCACTGAGCTAATACTTAACCACCACACCAAGCAGGTGGAAGTTTGAGGGCCATTGAGCACTGTGAATTTTCCCAATGCATCACAATTACCAAAACACCTGTGCTAAATAACTTTGCGCTGAGCCACTGTGAAAATTCACAGAGTGCTCAATAGCCCTTGAAATTTCTCATTTCTAACCAGGGCTGGAGTGGCTGAGCACTCACACACTGCAGCACAGCACAAAGCAGGTAAGGACACTGGTTCAGGACCTCATAAAGTCCCCTTTTTCTCTAGCTGGAAGTTATGCCATCCCTGTGATTTTCAGGCTGCTCCTACCTCGTCTCTACAATTATGCTCACTTGGAGTTAAGTGAACTGCATTGCATGAGCAGAGTCCAAACAGCACCCCGCTCCCCCGTCCCTTTTCCCCCACCCAGCACAGCTGCCTATATCAGAACCTTTCTTTTCCTTTTCCAGGTTGGACAGGTGTCCAACCGGAGGCTGATCCTGAGCTCAAGGCATCCCTCTCCATACTCCCCATCTCGCTCTCACGGAGTCATCAGAGCAGGACCAAGGGCACAGGACAACCCCAGGACAAGCTTGGCCTTGGGATGCACAGAATGAGGCAAGGCTCAGCAACCAGCCAGGAGCTCTTTAAGTAACAGTACAAGACATTAACAACCACATCAGCCCTGCTGCATCAGCTGTAGAGGAAGCTGAGAGGAAACTGAAGATGTTTCAGCCAGCAGAAGCAAGAAGAATGGGAGGAGGCTGATAAATAGTGGGGAGCCAGAGACATTCAGTCCATTTGGTCTGTCCCCAGGAAGGTGAAGAGGTGACTTGAAAGTGGTCAACAAGTGCCCAACTAGAGACAGGAGTAATAGGATGAGGCTCTTTAATCTGACACAAAAGCATCTTGAGATCCAGTGGCTGGAAACTAAAGGCGTTTCTACAGAGACATAAAATCGTTCTTGGTGCAGAACAGTTAAGGCAATTAACTAAGCACTGGAACAATTTACCTGAGGATGCAGCAGATTCTCTGTCACTTCAGTGCATTAGATTGGACCTCTGTGGGACATCTGCACTCCACCAGAGCATCTGGGCTTGATGATGGGGGTGTCATACAGGAATGTTGCCTCTGTGTGCTGTTGGGGTTTGCTTCTATATACTGAGCCCAGAACAGGAGTTCTTTCACAGCCAGCGATAGCAGTCACTAGATACAAATACAAAGGGGGAAGAAAAAACACAGAAGTGAGAAAAATTTGGAAAAAACAACACATCTCATCAGATGTCCCCAGAGCCTCACAGGGCAGCCCAGCAGTGTGTTCAGACCCTGCTTTCTGCCAATTTGCTGCTCAGAAATGAGCAGAGCAGAAGAAAACCATCTGTACACAGACGGATGGAGGCTGAGCATGTCCACTCTGTGTCCCAGCCCTGCTCTTCCCCATAGGGCTATGCAGTATCTCCACACCTGCTGGGCTGTGGTTTCCACATACTGGCTGCTCAGTGGCCACATCCAGCTCACCTGTGGGAATGCACTGAGGAAACACTTTGGTCTGAGCCACCAGCCACTAAAAGTGACTCTCAAATGCATGAACTGGAAGGTGTCCACTGATGCAAGAGACCACTCCAAATATCAGTTTTCTAGTTTTTAATTGGTGACAGAGTTTTATTTGGCTTGTTTCTGAATGATTTCCCCTCCTTTCTGATCTGGAGAGCTTTCAAATGTCACAGTGAGAGCTCTCAGTATCATTGTTCTTCAAGACTTTAAAAATCAAACCAAACTAAAAACCAAACAAACGCACACATACACACACAAAAAAAGCCCACAAAAAATAAAACCCAACATCTGCAAGCAGTCATGCAGGAAGACAGCCAAAATCTGATCATGAGCATTAACATTTAACTACTGCTGTATTTCACTGTGTGCCCGCACATCTTGTACAAAGACAGACACCCTTATGCTCCATGTCCCCTGCAAGTAAGCAAGTACACATGCTCCATTCATAATTAATGGCCTGGCTTTCCAAAAGCACTAACAACTGCATCTGCTTCAGCCTGTTGAGGATTTGGTCCTAAAGGTTTGGTTTCACCAAACTAATGCTCTGCCTGCAAAACAGCCATCTAGGAGACAGTGGAGCCAGCCTTTGACATTTGGACTCCAGATGTACCCAAACCAGCATCAAATATAATCACAGTTATCCTCTGAAATCAATGCTGGCTTTTCTGTACATTTCAAGGGTGATATGTTTGGACTTCAAATATTGTTTTCTGAGGTGCATAGTGCTCAAGATTGGGGCTAAGCCCTCCCAAAGCTTCAAGCAAGCACACAGCCCCCAGCACCCCTGCAGAACTGAACTTCTACATTATTTCAAGCCATTCCACAACCCCCGAGGATAGATGGACACAAAGCAGTGCTGTGTCTGCACCAGGCAGTCAGCACTTCTGCACTCAGCAGGGAAGCAGTGATGTTCTAGATGTGTAGGTTGCTGCTAAAAGGTATTGAAAACAACCCATAGATGAGCTGGGTTGGATTTATTTACTTGTTCCCCTTCCCATGGAGTGAGATATGCTCTGAGTAGATTTGCTTTGATAGAGAACTGGAGAGAAAGCCTCACCAAAGCTCCTTTCTTGCTGCCAGAGGACTGCCTCCAGTGAGCTTTTGGCTTTTAAGAGGAGACAAAACTGTTGGCTAGTGCAGACATGACCTGAAAATAATCCTCCATTCCTCTTCCTAATAGCTTTTATTTCTGCTTTTCTCTACCCAGTAACTCAGAAAGGAAGAGGGAAGCCTGGCTGCACTGGGGCACAGGGGCTCTCAGCTCCTGGTGTGCCCTGTAAGAGGGATGTTGCTCACCACTATCCATCACGCCCCATTTTCACTACACAGAGTATTTGAATTCTTTAATGACATGTGAAGAAAAAAATGAAAATAAGATATGTCTTATATCCTTAAATCCTCCTTAGACTAGCTCTCTTCTCTCAACAGCTACCATCTTCTTGATGATGAACCTAAAACAACCAGTTGAAACTGGCCCTGGGACCCAGCTAAATATCATAAGATGCACTTTTTCCATAGCTATTACTACAAGCTTTACTTGACTTTTCCACCTAACCCATGAAGTTAGCATCAGAAGCAGTGACTGTCCACAAACACATTAATCCTTGCAAAATGCATACCTGTAACTGACAGTTTGGAGAGGAGATACCCGAAAATACGATACACAACTTTAGAGATAAAACTTCGCCAGGATGTTTCATAGAGGTTAAACAGACTTTGACCAAAATAAAAATGCACCCTAATACCTTTCCTCTGCTTTTACCTCTCTGTTGTCTGTCACACATTTCATACGGTTCATCCTTCATTTGCAGTGATCTGTGAAAACCTCTACAGGGATGACATGGAGGGAACAAAGCTGGATAAAATCCTAGAGTATTTGCCAAACTGACAAAAAATATAGAAGAGAAAACATCAAGCCCAGCCAAGTCAAATATCAATCTACTTTTGTGTGCTTTGTTTCATTAAGTTTACTTTATGATTCATTTGTAACATACTGTGGTGGATAATGAGTACTTGCAACACAAACCTCTGTGTGCTTAAGAAATCTCTCTCTCTACACAGAGAAGGACTGGATAAAAACAACAGAGCCCTCTCATTTGAAAAAGCCCTCAGTGGTCTAAGTACAAGTGGAGATCTCTTAAGCAGCACTGAACAGAGAGCTCCAGCAATGAAGCACTCACATCAACGCTGAAGTATTCAAGCCCTGTGGAGACATCCCAGCCCATTCTATTCAAGCCTGCCAAGATGCCCTGTAAGCACATCTCTGAGCATGTAGTGGTTTTTGGGCAGCTGCCTCCTGGGTGGATAGCCCGGGAGATACCCACAGGCAGGTATGTTTGTGCATCCAACAGCTCTCCCAGAAGACACTGCCAACCCCAGCTTACATGTCAAAGAACAGCAGAAGTCTGAAGCTGCAGAAGGCTGAATGCCTGACCCATTGGTCTTGGTGGTAGTCCATCAGTGCAGGATCAGATCTAGATCCACCAGAGTCTATCCAGGCTCCTTTCCACCACCGCTCGAGATTTCTAAGCCCAAAACATCTCACATGGCAAGCTGCTCACATTTCAAACTGGATGTGACAGGTGGACAAATAGGAAGGGAAAGCACTTTAAAACAACATGAGATTCATAGACACGTTCATTTCTCACGCAGAAGTTACCCTTTATACAGAGAAATTCGCACTTCTCTCTGGTTTACTTAATTTTCTTTATGCTTCACTTACAAGCAGTCCTACAACTAATCAGATCAATGCCAAGACATCAGACTGTCAAATTCCTCAAAACTTGTGCTATTCCCAGGCTGGGCCTGCCATTTGCCTCCTTCAGCCATGACCACAGGGAAGCAATTGCACCTCCACTTCTGCCAACCTGCAGAAACTGTTCCATTATCAATAACTGCAGCACTGAAGAGAGTGTCTCCCATACGACAGGCAGCTAGAAATGAGCTGATCCAGCAGGAAAAAGAGCACGAAGGACTGAATTGCAGGCAAGCTGCAGGTGTTCAGATAATTACAAGACTTTGGCAAACTGTGGGAACAGCACACGCTCCTAAAACGACATCACAGGCTTTAATACTTGCACTGCACATCTGTGCATCAGTGTCTCACTCCCCCCCACCTCAGCATTTTGAATGTACAGTGGAGCTGTGCAAAGCCCTTGGGTGAAGATCCAAACACTCAGCAAAGAGATAAATGGCATGACAGCCCACTCTGCCCCAGCATGGGCCCCACTGGACACCTTCAGCTCTTTTTGTTCCACAGGAGATAGAGCATAACACCCATTTTGTGCCATTTGCATGCTAGCCCTGAGGGAATAAGGAGACAAGAGCAGAGTTTTCCACTTTCTCTTATGCTTCCCCTTCCATTCATACATTTATTTTCCCATTGTATTTTCTAACAGTTTCCAATTCTGCGAGAAGTTCAGTAAAAGAATAGATTCTCTTCAACTGCAAGGGCCCTCAAGTACAGTAACATTACACCACCCGTATTTCTCCACCTCTACTGAAGCAGAATTCTCCCATGCAAGGCAAAGCCACACAGGTTTACCAGCTTTTACTTTTCTGTGCATTCTGTTAACACGTTACAGTTTCCCGCTCATTAATCCTGCAAAGGAGCATTTACAATGTATTTAAAACACTTTTCCTCCTTTACTAGCTCCCTGTGGTGCCGTCCAGTTCCTGATCTGAAGAGCAATCAATAAATAAGCCCTGCCATCCGCCGGGGTTCCTGGCTGCCCAATTAGAACAGCAACCCTCCACATGCTGTTTTATTGTACGCAGCGGCAGTCGACTTTGGCACAGCTCTCAGAGCCTAACACTGGTTTTACATGTTTGTATTTGAGCAACAAAGCCTGGGAAGTCAGCGGGGCTGGTCTGTGCCAAGTTACATACAAATTCACCGGAGTTTCCGTCGCACAGTGCTTTCGCCAACCGGTTGCGTGGGGGTTGATGACAGTGTTATCATTTTAATTGCTTGAAACAGCGAATGGGCGGATTTCTGGCTTGTCAAGGACATTGTATGGGGAAAAAAAAGAGACATTATTAATCTCTCCAAAGCCTAGCTGGTGAGTAGGACCTTAAAGCAGCTGAGCAGTGAACAAAGTGTGCTCAGTGAGCAGGCAGCATGCCACAGCAAGGGGCAAAAATCAGCCTGCAAAATAAGCAACGTTAAAGTTGCTGCTCTGCCTCATACAATCTTTAGAAAAAGGGACATATTTTCTTGGGATACCATAAATTCACTTTGTGAACTAGCATCACCAGTTTGTGCCAAGGCCCGGCCTCAGTGCCTGGCCTGCTGAAGACAAGCAGGGAAGAGGGCTGCTTGGCCAGGTCTGCTTCAGGACCAGGAGGCTGTAGGGAAGCCATGACGCCTCAGATGGCCTCTGTCTGCCTGTCTCAGCTACAAGGACTCATGCAGTGTGGAGTTCACCCAGCAAATGTGTTGGCAGAGGAAGGAGTAGGAAGCCCCGAGGGACAGCAGAGTCCCTGTTGTGTCTGAGTTTGCTTTGCTGTATTTTCACATGAGACAAGGCTGATCCCCCAGCCAAACACCAATGCCAGGGCACGACATCCCTGCAGACATTGCAGAGCTCTCTGCCAGGACCCTTTCACACCTCTGTGGGAAGCAGCTGGTGCCAACCCACACCCGAGAAAGG